ATAAAAATATATAAAAAAATAATATTATTAACTTTTTTGACAGAATTTTTGACAATTTGTTTTTGCAAAATGTTGTTTGCTACAAATTTTAAGAAGAAAAATATAATATATACCAAACTAATTAGTCTAAGATTTCAATCAAAGTCAAAGATTTTACGACCAGTAACTAAAACAATTTGTTTAAATTTACACTGATGATGGACCAAATCATAATCTCGAGACGCGAATATAAGCACTGAACATTGTATATTGTAAAATGATATAATGTTACTTACTTAATTACTTCAAATAAATTCAATTTATAAACATGAATATTAACAAAATATGACATCAGTCATATAGTTGACACAAATCCGGTTAGATATAACCCAATATTTATAATTATATCACAAAATTTGAAAAAACTTGGTTGTTTCTGTTATGAATAACACTAAATTTTGTCGTATGAAACAGTCACAACAAAATAACAATAAGAGAGAAAGAAAGGTGTCAATATTTTTAATTTAAGAAAATTTCTATTATGTACATTATGAAACTAATAATTTGTATTGCGTAAAAACGAACATTTGTGCATCTAAGTATGTAATTAAAATATAATTAAAATAGTAAACATGAAATTCATGTAACACTTACCATTTTATTTCCGAGATGAAACTCACTTTTGAATCTTTCTCATGCGATGTCCGGCAAACAAACGAAAGTTACTTACACTTTCACGCAGTCTTATTGAATACCGACTATATATGCATACAGAATATTTCTGACGAACGACAGTTTCGATTTTTAATTTAATAAATTAGCATTATAATATAATTTATTTAAATTTTGTTAAGATACAAAACTTAAAATTATTTCAAACAGTTTATAATATTTTTTCCAAAAAAATCTGTGCTTTTGCTGTACAAATTATTACCTGAAGCTAATTTACCACCAATTTAAATTAATTCAACTAATATCTTAAACTATGATTGTGACGTATATGAATAAATTAGGAATTTTTCTTTTGATTTTCTGTTATCATCTGTATATTGACATTCAAGCACTTATGACTTATTAATTATAATTAATTATATATTGATTATTATATTTTATATTAATAATATTAAATCGTTGAAGGTGCGCGTTGGCACTTCACCGAGACACTAAATGATTCCGTTGCGTGCAGTAAGAGTTATAGAATCAAAATCGAATTCTTTAACAAGAACTTAACAAGAAGCAAACTTTGTTCAAGTGGGGGTATTTGTAACAAATTGGTGGGTGTATAATACAAGACAACATCTATTGTTAACATAAATAAATTGATATCTATAATCAATAAATAACTGCTGTTCAAAGCGTATTAGATCTACTTTTTGACACCACGGCTTCGATCAAATAAGCTAAACTAATTATTCATTTGAGTATATAATTGAATTATAAGATTGCATCAATTTATTTTATTATTATTTGCGTGCAATTGTCGGCGTAGATGTAATAATTGTTGTAATAGAAAATGTATTTATTATTTTATTATTGCGTAGGGGACATACGGATAAAATGGTACATAGTGAAAAAATTACTCAGTGGCCTTATTTAAAAATTGGCTAGGTTTAGTAACTTTTTTGCGACAGTATAACGTGAAGAAAGCCATAAGCACAATCATGTCAGAAGTTGAGCGTCATTGCCACTATCCTGTCGCAGCAAACAGTCCAAACGTGTATCGTGCCTTCAAAAGTTTATTTTAAAGGTGGTTCTGTCATCTTTTTTTGGGACTTATTGATTGTTATTTAAAATTATTTCTAATAAAATCAATGAATTTATTATTTATTCCACTACTAGTGATTTTGATCAATTTGATGGAAATTATCAGACTTGATAATTTTGATTATCTTTTCATTTGCTCACATTAGAATATAATGACGTGGTATTTCGGAAAAACTACAAGATATTTCATTTGAGGACAAGAAAATAGAAACTTGAAACCTGTCATAGGTTTTTGGCTTTTACTTCTATCTCTAAAAATTCTATCTCTATTTCTAAAAATAGACCAAAGGATTCACCAGTGAAAAGAAGGGAATCGCATTTATAAAACCCTCTTTTTTGTGTTTAGAGTCCGGCAAAGGTTGGTTACCATGTATAATATAGACTCATGAGTTATGTGCTGATGACCCAAAGAAAACCAAACAAATTATTTGTGAATTTTCTTCTTATAAAATTAAATTTCACAATGCATATTACAAATAACTTTTATATTTAAACCACTTTTTATATGTCTCTAATATTTTACCCCAATCAGTTGGGGCATAAAATCTACCATTATGCCAAATTTCATCAGAATCCGATACGAGAAACTCGCAGGTTCTTTACCTCAATACAAATTGCCACTTACACCTAGTTTAAATTTGTTAGTATTTATAATAATTTTAACACTATAAAAATTATCTTACTAGAATAAACACAAAAAAGTGGAAACATGAAAAAGTTTATGGTAAATAAATCATTGTAAATTTTGCTTTTGGACAGGTTGAGTGCCTCTCTACACCATAAGCAACTAGGATGATTATTAAATTCCTTTTATTCTTTTGAATTAAAGAGTTAACGGTTTATATAAACGCATTTAATATAATATTTAAGTAAAAAATTCTAAATAAAAATATAAAATTGAAATCATTCAAAAAGATTAGAGTGAATTAACTTAATAATGTCTTAACTAATTTGTAACTTTTATGATCACAACGATTATTAATTGCACTATTTAATTTGTCATCAACTAGTAATCATATCAATATCAATTTAACGACCCTCAGAATCGTTTTATAATAATTTAATAACTTATGAGAAGTCTATTACAATAGCAATAGCCATTGTTCTAACAGATAGCGGAAGTGTTCTTAATAAAAGTGAAACTGAACAGTGTCTATTAAATTCCTTAAAATGCATGTCTGAGATTTTATAACTATTGTTGCAGTGTGAAATCATGTAAATATTTTTAACAATTTTAAAGAGGTAAAAATGACTGCCAGCAAAATTAAGAAATACTCTTATCCCCCGTTTTACACGGTATTCGATTTACACGTTTTTGATCTTACGCGGGCTTTGAAACAAATTTTTTTAACGAAATTTTTTAATTTTGCTTTACAAATACTAAACAATAATTTGCTAACCTACAATAAAATTTTTATTGTTTTACAATCTAAATATAACGCTACAAAATGTATGTTACGAATTCTTAGTAGTCTATGGAAATATGTAGATAAGATGGAAGCTCCCCGCTTCATGATCAAAACTGAATTTTATGTGTGTATAAGCTAATTTGAAATAAACTAACTTATATAACGAAATAGATTAATATATCTATTATTAATATAATATTATTAATAATTAATATATGATATTATAAATATATTTATTATTTATAAATAATAAATGTATAATAATAATGTATATATACATTATATATAATGTTATTTTAATACTATTACTAATATCATATTTTTGTAATTTATTAAATGTGTTAGATATTAAATATATTAATATTTATTTTCCGTTCAATGTGTTTGTTATTCATCATTCAGACAAAAAAAGCTTTATATTAGTGATTTTTGTTTAGCACGGTTTTTCCATATAAGAGTGAATTTTTCGAGATACACGGTTTTTTAGGAATCTATCTTCCGTGTAAAGCGGGGTATAGGTGTACTTTAATACACACATTAAAGCGTATGTTAACTTATTGCGAGAGAATATGTTACCCTACTTCCGTTTATTTTGTAGAATAGATATATGATATATGTGAATATTCAAATCTTTAAATGCAAAGTGCGGATAGGTTTGAACAACTATTCAAACTATTTCCCAAAGAAAACAGATAAAGTATTATATATATATATATATATATATATATATATATATATATATTGTTAGATTCATCGCAGAATTTTTAGTTTTTCTTCCATATATCGCAACTTTGTATTTCAAATGGTTTGGCCTAAGAAAGAGTTACTAACGAATTTCAAGAAAAATTAGAAAATCTCACGAAAATTATATAAATATCCATATCGAATTATATATCGTTTTATTCGTTACTTTATTCTGCATCTTTCGTCCAAACAAACTGTTTATGAATCTTTTATTGTTTATAGTTTGTAAGATATAAACTGTGTGATTATTTAGATGTTCAAATGAAAAGTGAGCATGAGTTTGAGCAACTATTCAAACTATTTTATAAATTTACAAAGAAACCATCATAGATAAATAAGTATAATGAAAACCATATAAAGCATTGTACATCGTTAGAATGGTCTCAATTTTTTTAGTTTTTCTTCCAACTTCGTATTTCGAACAGTTTGGCCTATAGACGAGTTGAATTTCAAGGAAAATTAGAAAATCTCAAAAAAAGTATATGAATACACATATCGAATTATATATATATATATATATATATATATATATATATATATATATATCATTTTATTCGTAATTTTATTGTGCATCTTTTGTCTAAACAAACTTTTTATATACCTCTTACCGTTTAGCTTGTTTTTTAACTAGATGTATGTGTGTGTGTACGGATACAAATTTTCGTCAGGAACACGGATCAACCGATTTGAATAATTCCGTAACGTCGTTTATCCGTTAAACGACGACGCGGTGCTTACGCGCATCGATTTTTTCAAAAATGTAAGATATCTCAAAAATCTAATTTTTTCAAAGTACGGGAAGTTCTAGCAATTTGCCTTAAGGAACGATGCCATCCACCACTAGTTGAATAATGAATTTATTGTTTGAAAACACAGAAATTATTATGCTTGATGGTAGGTTGGTACCGCTGGATTTACTGTAAATAAAGCTTTAAGGTTAAGTTTGTTTATGTCAAAAATATAATGAAAGAATGCTAAATAAATCAGATTCTATTGAATATTTTTTATAGTACTTTCAATTAAGTTTAAGCCACGACCATCAAAATTTTTTGTCCAAAAATACTCTAAATCAAAGCTTTTGAATATAACTCTTTCTTTATAATTATGGATACTACACAAATAAACGACGAATATTTATTATCCAAACTCCGAGAAAATGAATTAGAAAAAATATGCAGATGCTGTTTCACTATCGAAGATAACATGCAATCTATATTTGCAAAATGTTTTGAAAGAAACGATACTTTAAAGTTTATTTATGAAATATTAAGTATAAATGTAAATACCTTAAAATAATTTTTCATGATTTAATATTTTGATTTTTAATCAGAATAAATAGTTTTTAGGTACGGACAAGTTTCCATCATTAATATGCAAGAAATGCTTACAAAAACTAGAAATAATAAACTCATTTCGACAACAGTGTATACAAACGCAAAAAATATTGCATTTATATGTAAATAATTCCATACCAAATAATTGTAATAAATCTTATTTGGATGTAGCAAACCAGGACACAACTAGTCATCCAAATAACACAATTTATGATAATGATCATCCTAGACAATATAATGATCATTCTATTGAAGATAACTTGGTAATACAACATTTAAATTATTAGATGATATGATAAATGAATACTGTAGCTCTCATTTGGAATTCATAGTAGATCTAATAAACTAAAATGACTATTATTAATATAGGAAGTTATATATCTGGGAGCATCAAAGCTCATATCATCATGTTAAATAAGATAAGATTTTCATATATTTGCTTTACAACATCACATTTGATAATTAATATTGTATTTACTTCCGTGTACTATAAAAATAGAACTGTGTTCTAAAAATATAGAAAGTATTATTCCATGGTTCGTAGGCTCAACATATACAAACATCTATCACTCAAAATAATCCTGTGGCAATTGAACCTTATACATCAACAAATAATTATCAGCAATGCTCAATATGCAAAGAAAGTTTCTCAAATTTTGAATTACTTACTAAGCATAGAAAGGTTAGTGACTTATAAATTTGTAGATTTATATTATATATTTTATAATTACTTTTTACTTATAAACCATTAATTTTTTTTATTGATAGGCTTTTTATTAAAAGTAACATTTAATTATCATGTCGAATGTGTTAACTAAATTCAATTATATTTTATTAGGCTAATAATAAAAGGTAATATAACTTGAATTTTTAATGGGGTTGTAATAAATCATTCTATATTGTTTTATGCATGTTGAGATTTGCATGTTCACAGTAAAGATTTTGAATAACCATTTAATAATGTACTTAATCATTTAATCAAAATTACGATTGAGACCACCCAGAATCCAATAATATTTTCTGAATTATTTTTTGTTTGTGGTTTCTCAAATCTCAAATAAATATATATACTCAATTTTAATGACAACTATTTATGAATAGATTCATGGGAAGAAAATACATCAATGTCTTACTTGTGGAAATGGATTTACTACAAATAGAGGCTTACAAATACATATGAGATTACACACAGGAGAAAAGTCTGAAATTTGTAAAATATGCTCGAAAGCCTTCAGTGATCCTAGAGCATTAAGAAATCATATATTTATACACTCAATGAGAAGGCCTTTTAACTGTGAATATTGTGATAAGAAATTTATTCAAAAGTAAGAGAATTTCAATAATATAAACAGTAAAATGTTAACTTTCAATTATATTAACACTAGATTTACTAGAATTTCAATTGAATTTTATAAATTTACAAATAAATTTGTTATTAAATTGTTTGTCAATAATATTTAAGCTTGCACCGATCAAAAGACAAAATGAATTATATAGAAAGAGCATATCATTCAATTCCTTCAATTGGGTTTTCATTAATAAAGTTATTTGAATAGGGCTTATTTTTATTAACAGTTTTAGGAAGAATTAAATGTAAAATTCTATACATTCTTTATAGGAAATCTTTTCATCTTCATTTGAAAACACATACAGGGGATAGGCCACATGTTTGTGACGTTTGTGGAAAGAGTTATATTCAACATAATAATTTAGTGGTAATAAAAATATTTTATACTTTTCTTTGTCAATAAGTGTAAATTTTTACATTAATATGAATTGAAATAATTTAATTATTAATTGAAATAGATACACAAAAGACTACATACTGGAGAAAGACCTTTCTTGTGTACAGTGTGCAACAAAAGTTTCACAAATGGTGCGTCTTTATCTCTGCACATGCCAATTCATACAGGTTGTTTATTTTTAACATAGTATATTGATATCAAATCAAATCAAATTGTTTCATATCTTGTTAGATATGATATTTTGATATATTTCTAATATCCAGGCAAAGTAATTATCACGCAATATTCAAAATATCCATAGATATTTTATCTTCTTAAAATGATTTAAATTATATCTGATTCATAATAAATCGTTTTCATTAAACTCATGTTGAACATTACTTCAAAATAAATATATATTGGTCACTTTTCTGGTTTTGTGGCAGGCTTTTATAATTTGTTTTTTATTATATTTCAACAGGCATAAAAAACTTTATTTGTTTTGTGTGTGGGAAACGCATGGCTAGAAGTGGTGAATTAACAATACATTTGAGAACTCATACAGGCGAGAAGCCTTATAAATGTTCTGAATGCAGTAAATCATTTATTAAAAGCAGCTCTCTTAGCGCTCATATGACAACACACACAGGTGAGTAAACATATTAGAGAAAATGTTTCATTTTATCCCAAAATTATGTAGATTGAACATAAATTATTCTTTATAACTCATGATTCTTTTGGTCTCTCTTAAAGGTTTAAAGAAGCACATTTGTTCAATATGTGGAATAGGCATGGCTCATGCTGGAAAACTTACGATACATATGCGTACACATAACAAAGAAAAACAATTTGCTTGCAGTGTTTGTGATAAAAAGTTTGCTAATATGAATTATTTAAAGCAGCACAATAAATCCCACACAGATTTATGATATTAATTATTGAAACAGGTTGAAAATGAAGTGATAAAATGATGAAAATATTATTGTATAGAAGTAAATTAGAATATAGTTAATATTACATACTTTGGTATTTCTTTTATATGAATAAAATTGTAGTAAAAAGGAAGAAATAATGTATACTATTTGTCAATTTGTTTGAATATATAAACAACTATATAAAAATAATTATGAACAGTGTGAAAAAATTATGTAGTCAAGTTCAAATATATGTTTTTTTTTGTCTCAAAATTTATAGATTAATAACAGAGTCCCTTCCATGTTTATAATGAGAATTAAAATCTATTCTTATTAGATCTTTTAGATTTTAATTATGCTAAATTATGATTATTATTTAACGTTTAAAAGGTTTCATGTGCCGCTATAATTTACTATTATTTGTATTTATTGTATTCACCAACTTTGATGATAAAAAAATAAATAAAAAAAATGTTATGTTTATTAATTAAAAGTTTATATTTGTAATAAAAAGTATATTCTTCGGATATAAAAGCAATTAAAATGCAATAAATAAATCGATTCAAAATGATTAATAAAATAAAATATAAAATCACTACTGTTGAACATATGTGTGACTTATTTTTAAAACAGTCATATAAAATTAGATTATTCATTAACTTAATTATATATTAAAATATTGTACCACTTTTTTTAATAAGATATTTGAGTAACCAAAAAGAATGTGAAAATATTTGAAATAACTTCACAGCAAGGCATTAAAAAATCACAAAATGTTATTTATACATTACTATATCTCCATTATTAAAAGATGCCACTATCCCATTTTCAATATGATTTGACCAGCACAAACAATTTAATTTCAATAAAGGCTGGTTTTCACATAAATGAGAATTATATCTCAAACATTTTTGAACTTCTAAGCAAAAATCATCTATATCTATTAGTACATCATTAGTCAATTCGTGGCAAAGCTTATATTTTTCCTTCATTCTCAAGATTAATATTTTAAAATTAAGATCATGGACAGATAAAACGTTAAAACAAAATAAAGCATCATCTATTGTTCGAACAAAATTTAAAAACCAATCACATGTCAATTTGCACTTTGATGCTTTATTTATCACTTCACCACGTTTGTTTGAGCAAACACATATAAAATTTGCTTCCTTGTGTATATAGTCTCTAATACATTCATTTATAGCACCAGTGAGACTTTCTAACTTCCTTATTTCTCTCATTGCTAATTGGTGCAGGATAATTTCTGATGATACAAATTGCTCACATATGCTATTACCGGAATCAATATTTACAACAGACATTACTGATGAGTCACTTACAGTGTTGTGTCCAATAATTAAATGCCTCAAAGTGGGACTAAAACTTAAAGAAACTATAACTCCTGGTATACAGATGCATTGCATTAGTAAACCAAAATCATTTGGCTTTAAACTATATATGTTCACACTTTCACCTTCTGGAGTTTTCACTGAAGTGGCAATTTTAGTGAATTCTTTATCTATGGCAACAGTGGAGTCATTATGCAATAAAGAACTAGCTACAATAACTCTGCTGTTACCTTTATTTAAATTTTTTAAAATCCCTTCTTTCTCTAAGTCCCATATTTCCAATGCATACACTCTAGGTTGGAGAATATTTGATAACAGGCTGTCGAAGACCTTCCTTACTCCTGTGATTAAGTACTTTCCAACATTATCATAACAAACATATCTAATTTTTGCCTCAAAATTTTCACTAGGTAAGGTTGTTTGAGGACTATTGCCATTTCTAATATCCCAGAATACTAAAGTACTATCTACAGCAATGGCCAGTATAGGCAAAATTGGATGAAAAGACAACGAAGCTATAGGCTTTTCAAAATCATAGAATATTGTTGACCTCTCGTCATTGAACCATAATCTGACATGACCACCTAAACAACCTGAAGCTAATATATATGATGATCCTTTGACAAAAGGGGCCCAAGATAGAGTCCAAATGCTTCTGATATGACCACTCGATAATATTCTTTCCACCCTATTTGTTTTCATAGATATAATACTAATTGTACGATTACCATGAGCGCAAGCTACTCTTTCGCCATCAGGACTAAATACTGTTAAAAATGTAGTGCGAACATATCGATTTAAATTAAACTTATAAGTGGAAAAATCTTTTAAATATGATTTTGACATAATAATATCTTCGGCTCTCTTTTCCAAAAGGTTATTAATAGACCAATTGAAATCTTCATACTTGCGACTTTGTAAGGCAGACACAATATTTTTAGATTTAAACTTTGGCATATTTCATAAAAAACATTTATTTAATATATAATATGTGTAAAACTTTAAAAAATATTGTAGGTTGACATTAGAAAATTAGAGTTCTGTCAGAGAGTGAAGTAGTGCCCTCTTTCGTTCAAAATAATCATCAATTCGGAATTCAATGTTTATTGAAACAATTTTGAACAAAAGATTCTCGTACAATAGATAATGGCAACAAGCAAAGTTCATTGTACAATAAACTAATAATATGTGTATTTCATGTAAATTTTATGTTAACGAATCGCAATGTTTCAATTTACCATCGGCATGACAAAAGTAACAAGTTTCAATTGTGTGGTAATTGAAAAACATACAACATTTGGCTTACAAATAATTTTTAACTTTTTATGTGTTTTATATGTAATGAAAATTTCTCTCATGTTCATAAAAACTTGTCCAAATTATATTTAAAAGTTAAAACGTTTGAATAAAATAATTGACCTTCGTTAATTGTTAAATACTAGCACCATCTTTCGAAATGTGCTTTACGGTCAACATAATAAAAAATCTTTGTAAACATCTCTATCAAATATCAATGTCAAATTTGACGTAAAACAACTGAGTCACTTAAGGGTGATTGTGTGAAAAATTAATATATACATACAAATTCTGTACAATATTTTCTTTATTTTTGGTGCTTTGTAACTGTGTTAGATTATGCTGGAGGTGTATTTAGAAAATATTAGCAAATTTTCAAAATGTGCGCAGTTGTTGAGAATAACCTCACTTTTATCCCCAACATAAGTAACGCATATGTTATTTGATATTAAGTTATAAATAATATAAACATCAATATGCCTCAAGCTAATACTAATTATAAGCTTAATTTTGTGCAAAAATCCCCACAATATTCCCCTATAACAAGTTCTTCGGCCATAATGGAATCTATTGATACTCCGTCTTTAACATTAATTAATAACAAAGCCCATATGTCGTCTCAACAAATTAATAATAAAAATACTTCGGAAATTTCTGTTGAAAATGAATTTACGTCTCTCAAGTTAGAAAATGACGAGGATTCGGATGCGTCCAGTTTTCTTTTAATGGATGGACAGGAGCACATGAAGGTACAATAATTTTTAATAATTTTTCAAAAATAATCAACTAATAACTTTGTCATTGAAATTTTATTACATTATTGGGACCATGCACATTATAAAAATATATAAATTGTAACTTTTTTGCACCAATTTGATTATACTTTAACAATGGTTTCTAAATATATGAATAACATAATTATTTTGTTGTATTATTGCTAATTATTAATGTGCTGCTTTTAGTATGTATTTGGACATAAGCTAAGTCATGTAAACTTCACATTTTATCTCTATGTAAATTAATAATTGAACTCATTTGAGATCTGTTTTCAGATAAATTCGGTAGAGCTGTTCTTAAAACTACTACAATGCCCTAAAAATGAAAAGATCAAAGTAGTTTCAATATTTGGAAATACTGGTGATGGAAAATCTCATACAATGAATCATGTCTTCTTTGATGGAGTTGAGGTATACAAATTAAAAATTCATATCATTTAAGTTCAATATAAAATTGAATAATTATTTAAATAATATTAAATTAGATATTCAAAACATCTGAAGAACAACATTCTTGCACTCTTGGTGTTTGGGCAGCGTATGATTCTGTTAATCGAGTTTTATGTTTAGATACAGAAGGATTGTTAGGAGTGACAAAGCAGGAAAATCAAAGAACAAGAATGCTGCTAAAGGTAATATTAAAAGAGCTTATTGCTTTATAAAGTGCAGTTGTCAATCAAAATCATTTATAGGTATTAGCCATATCTGATATAGTCATATACCGAACAAGATCTGAACGTTTACATAGAGATATGTATACATTTCTTGGAGGTGCTTCACAAGCCTTTAGTCGCCATTTTATGGGAGCTTTAAGAGCTTTAGGACTTCAACAGCCACCATCAGCTTTAGGCCCTGCTGTTATCATATTTCATGAAACTAGAAATACGAGAGTTTTGAATTCCAGTAAGTTTGTTTTATTTCAACCAAATCAATTTAGCACTATTATCAACAATCTAATAAAACAAAACAAAAATTTAATTCAAAAATAAAGCATAATTTATAAAATGAATGTTTATATATATCTCAATTAGCATTATGCTTGACATAATTATAAAAATTTAAATATAATCTTTTAAAGCTGTAACAGCTAGCCCAGAAGATATTTTACGATCAGAATTTTCTGCTATGCACTATGATCTAGAAGCGTTTTCATCTTTACGTTATGTTGGGCAGCACACAAGAGTGCCTCCTACACGCTATGAGCCACTTAAGAGTGCTGTTCAAGCTGAAATTATTAATACTACTGTAAGATCACCTAGGCCAGCTTCGGTGGTTCTACAAACATTAAAGGTGTAGTAATGTGCATTTTATTGATTTTTGCTATTAACAATATAGATAAACAAACTGCAAATTGTGTTTAGTTGATCTCAGTAAAAAAAATATTGAAAAGTCAATTCAATAAAATATACACAATACGTTAAATAAATGTCCCAAAAACTATCAAAATTTTCACTTAATAAAATTAGTAATATTTTGAAATTATGGAAAAATCATATCAAAAGAATGAGTATATATAAAAAATATATACTCATAGTATATATAAAATGATTTTGATATTTTAAATATTTTAATTTCAGGCTTTGAATAATAAATTTTCTGGAACTTTATCAGAAAAACCCACAAGTGTATTTCCTGAGCAATATTTTACTTGCGGTACCATTTGCTTGTCTTGTGGCGAAAGATGTGCACAGAGCATGGGCCATGAACAGCAAGGAGAATCGCATTATAACAGTAAAAAATGCAGGTATGTACCAGTACTGTAGTAGATAAAGCAGTTATGCTATTACAATTATGAATTAGATAGGAATAATTGCAATAGCTTCTAATATATCATTAAAAAGTTTTTATGAAGATTTCAGCATCAATTTGGCAATAAAGTTTATGTTTGCAAGGCCTGCCATATGTCTGGAATGGAAGTTATTGTAACACCGCATTATCAGTCAGCTGATACTAGTCAGAATAATGGGCCACTTGCTGCAGGGTCGTGGGTTGCTGGTTTAATGTCATATGCTTGGTCTGGATCTGTTATTGATTGTCCTAATTGTGGAGAAATATATAGAAGCAGACAGTACTGGTATGGAAATCGAAGTCCGGAAGATTCAGCTGTTAGGTCAGAAATTGTACATGTTTGGCCAGGGGTGAGTGTATTGAATTAAATATTGGAGACATAATCAACAAATAGGCAAGATTGAACAAAAGCTTTTAGACAAAATTTCTCTAATTTTTAGTTCAACATATTTGTATGTTGCTGCTAAATTTACAGATTATTTCTGTTAGACAAAGTATTTTGAATAATGAACTTACAATGTTGAATGTCAATATATGATCAGTGTTAAGTAACTTTTAACATAGATTGTAAGTTTTATTATTGCTTCATTGAACTTACATTAATAATGTTACTTATTTATAGAATAAACTACTGTCTCGTAATGGACCACCCCATTCTGCGCAAAAGGTTTTAGATGGTGTTACATATATATCCGATGTTGTTGCTAATGTAGCGACTGTTCCGTCGAGGGCGCTGAGCGATTGGATGACGGACAAACTAGCACCAGCATACTGGAAACCGAATGCCCTTATCAAGGTATTACTATAATTTATCTAGTTACTATAGTCTCAAATGTAGTACTATTATTTACCCTGTTATAAACTGTAGCACTCTCATTGAAGATAAAATATTGAACTATTTGTATTGAACTAATATTCTAAATGTGTTGAAATTTGCAAATATACATTTTATTCTTTGTCCATGACGAGTATATATTCGTAATCACAGTAAACTGGTTGATAGCAAACTCGTTTTGTCTGTGATTTTTAATTAATTCTTATAAAGTTCACAACATTTATGATCATGCTATTAAGAATATTTAACGAAATTTAAATAATTTTCACACAAATATTCTGATGCTATTATGATTTCACTTGCAATGCTAAAAAGGATTTAAAGAAATCATTTTTAAGATTTTTATATTATTACGGCCTAACAACAAAATATATTTATTATTTAATATCTGGAAAAAAAATGGCTTTTGATGTCTTACATGTAAACTTACTGACTTTAACAATAAGCAAATTGTTTTATTATATATACATGTATAAAGTTGGGTAACTTTTGGACGCTAAACTATACAAGAGCTAGGATGCTTTCATTTGTATAATATACATTAAAAAAGAAGAAACTATAATAATTATATAATAAATTAATTTCGCGTTTCCCTTTGCTATTTTGCAATATTTCAGCATTGCCACAGCTGCCGCGTGAAATTTGATAATAGTACCGAAACTCCTCTTTCAAAACATCATTGTAGAGCATGCGGAGAAGGTTTCTGTGCGGCTTGTTCCAAATGGAGAATGCCTGTTCCTTGGAGAGATTGGGGATCAGATCCAGTAAGTTAAAATATTATGAGTATTGCTTATTTAAAACCCGCAAATATCATAAAAAATATATAAATAAAAATATTTGTATTATTTATTTAGTTTTAATTAACTAATTTTGAAAGGTTCGCGTTTGTGAAGATTGTTATCGACAATCATCTAAACATTCCGATCGAAAAAATTCCGTCCCAGGCGAAGAAGTTGGCGTTTTGACCAGAAAATACGGCGAAGTTGTAGTCAATACACTGAGCTCTGTTGCGGCTGCTTTAGAATACCCAAAAGGTAGCAAATTGATTAAATTAAATAATGAATTGCGAAATGGATTTTTTCATTAGCATGCTGATACATCTATTAATAATTTAGAAAACAGAGTTTTTGTTAATTTGAGAGTAAAATCAAATATATCAGTAAAATATTTACCTAAACCAATTTCCTTTATCTTTACGGATAACCTTCAAATTTAAGAAAATAATAAAGGTGTTTACATTTCCTACAGATTTAATTAAAGAAGCAGCGAGACCTTCCTATTGGGTTCCAGATAGTGAAGCACCGAGTTGCCATTTGTGCGGAGTATTGTTTAATTCCGATTCTGAATGTAATTCTACTACTACAAGCATTAATAGTGATTTAAATACAACAGGCCCAATGATGGCTGCAACATCAGACCAGCAACGGACGTTTTTAACGTAAGTTTAATAATCTTTATTTTTCTCTTGGTCTAATGTACTAATGTACTAATTTGTGTTAGTTAACGTTTTGTATATTTATCTACATGTTCATGGTTGAAAATTCATGTTAATATAGAAGATGCAAAGTACTATTGTAGAAGCACATGAATTTATTATGGTTTTTTTCTTCAATATATTATATACTATATACACTTTGATAACATGAATATATAATTATTTTACAGATATCAAAGAAGGCACCATTGTCGTGCTTGCGGTCAAGCTGTTTGCAACAAATGCTCTTTGAAAAGAAGGCCTGTTCCAGAACGGGATTGGCATGAACCTAAAAGGGTTTGTGACGCATGTTATAATAGAAAGTCTGAATAAGTATGTAAAAAAATAATCTAAAAGACATGAACATGTTTAGCCATTGAGCATGAACTGTAAAAAAGGTGACAAGTTTAAAATCTAAGCCATATTCCGAATCAAAATTAATAAATAATATTCTAGATATAAAAAAAGCAGATTATCATGAATGAAAAAAATTATCTATTTATCTTTCATATATCTAAATCAGCATATTTTCAGGCTGTGTGATACAAAAAAAGTGGCAAGGCTTGTGATCAAATTTTGTTTTGTGTACTATCCTTTGGTATTGATTTGATATTACTGCATTATAATTAGGAAATTATGAAATTTTATTCTTGTTTTTTTTTATAATTATTCGAATAGTTATAAAATTTAGTATGGTTCTTATTCATATATAAAAAATCATTAAAGAAAGGTGTTTAGTTTGTATAATTATGATCATGAACAAGGCCTAGAAAAGAATTCAAAATAAGTGACGAGTGTACATAACTCATCAATTATGAAATTATTAAATAGAGACTTTACCAATAGTTTTGTTTTATATTTGATGCATATATAGAGTAATGAATTATATATAATATACATAGACTATTATTATTTTATTTTCAATAATATAATACTTGTGATAGGTATTGAATAGTAAATACATTTGTAAATAATAATTTTTGTTACAAGAATAAAGTTAAATATATTGTATTCTTTATTGTAATACAGTTTATATAAAATTACATTATAATATTAAAATAACTAAAGAAGATGGTATATTATGAATGAAACCAAGTAACTATAGTTGAAAATTTATTAAGCATTTAATTCTATGAAATCTTATGATTTTTGAATCATATATTTACCTCTGAAGATTATAGAGATAAAAAGTTGAAAGCTTTGGGGTAGTTTTGTATTTTTATATACATGATTTTTATGATGCAATTAAGTTATATTTAGGTACATTCAAAATTTAATTTATTTTTTTATTTATTTCAAATTTGTTTAGAAAAATAAATGACATTTTTAATAAAAAGTGAATTTTAAAATGAGATATTACTGCATTATATATAAATATTCTTTGTAAATAATTAATATATTGTACAGTTTAAATGCTTTTTATGTGACATAATCAATTGTGATTGAAATTTAATTATTGTAATTTATTATTTATCAAATAAATTTGCAAAAGTTTCCTTTTCTTTCATTTATATGTAGCTCCATATGTATACTCTTCTTTTATCTATGTGTAGCTCTATATTTTAAATGCTAGTAGTAAAACTAATACATAAATATTTAAATTGTTTTTAAGAATAAGCGTGTAAATTAGAAATTATATTAATTCTAATATAATTGAAGCCATAGTCAACTGAACATTAAATAGAGTCTACAAAACGCACGAAAGCATTCAAGTTTAGCGCTTTTTTCTCTATGCTCCACTGAACTAGGATCGTCTTTATTTACATTTAATAAAAAATATGAAAATCATTACAAGCATTATGAAAGTTTTACTAGAAAAAGAAAATAATTCTAAATTATATTTTATTCAATTGAACGTTTCTGGAAGCTTAAAATTAGTTAATAAATAAATAAATTACGTTGAATATTAATGTTATGTGTTGTGGCACTACTGATCGCGTTGTATTAAAATGGCGTCTGATTTTAGTTCAGTGGATCGTATCATATGTTTGTTGGGTGGCGTTGTCGCATCGAGGACGCGGAATGGTGTATAAGTTTAAATCCTAACATTTTGTGCAATATAAACAATAAACGTAAGTACCAATTTTTATTATTATACTCTAATTACATTCATCAAACATAAATCTATTAGATAGAATAATTCGTTTCGGCTGTTATGTTGTAATTAAACAAATATCTCTATTAAGCTTGTATACATAATCATTCAATGGCTGATCGTGATTTTGACCCATTTTAATAATTCGCTTCGGGGACGCGATGACACACGTCGCCGAAAGTAAAATCGTTTTTTAATGAGTTACTTTTATTAGTATCAATAGCCCTAAAAGTATCTTTTTATGTAATTAAGTACTTTAGCAATTCATTATTTTGTCCACGTCGCTATGGCTAAATTTGGCTAAACTTCCTAGTGAAAATAGAATGTAAAAATCGGTGCTTGGTGCATAGTGATTTTTCTTGGGACTTTTTCAGCATTTGTTGCATTGTGTAAGTTACGTAATGGGTAGTATTAAAATAATTTCTTTTTGTAGTTATGTTTTTTCGCTGATGTTATCTATTAGCTTCAGTTGTGAAATTTTACACAAACACATGTGATCGAAGCTTATTAAAAACACTATGCGTGGAATTGGCCGTAAAGCGTGGCACATTGTCGCATGATTTGCGAGAACATATTGAAAACGACGCGCATTTCATTGTTTATCAATTCTGATTCTCAGTTCAGAACGCCATATAATAATTATTCATTTTATATCTTTATACAACGAAGCGTTTCAAATCGCTTCATGTAACAGTTGCTCGATAAATTAGGGCCTTGGACGAACGAAATGTGGAAAGCATTTTGTATAAACAATATTATATTCTAGCAAAGCACCCTAATGATCACCACTAATGTCGAAAAATATTTTTGTAAAAATTGTTATACTTGTAAATTGATTTCCATTGATTTTCAAGATGTTTCTGAAAATTTGAACATATGTGACATTCTCTATATGATATATTCTTCTGTGTTTTATCTTAAAGATCGGCCCTTTTTCCCAACTTCTTAACAAAAGGTATATATTCGATTTAATTAAGGTGTTAACTTCGCTAAAATCAAACTTATTTCAATTCACAACAATATAGAAGAATAATAAGTAAATTATCTGATCTAAGCAGACTATAATTCATATAGATTGAGGTAATTATTGATTAATAAGGGAAAAATGCGGAATGAGAAAGTTTTACTCATATTATAATATGCCCTTACTGAAATCAGGTGAATATAAAGGGCATAGTATTTGTTGAAATTAGTATAAAACAATCCTCATACGAAGCGAAATTTTAAAACAAAAATATTTGGCTTCTAAATTAGAAGATACATTTCCATTTAAAAAATATTCAAAACAATTTTTGTTCTGAAATTGAAAATTGTTTTCATAAATTAAAATCATAAAATAGAGATTCTCTTTGCAAAATTATCTTATTGTTAATCAATGGTTTCTAATAAAATTCACGTACCAATTCAAGCTTTATCTTCATATAGTTTAGTCAATAGTTTTTAGATTGTTCTGTTTTCATTCCATTGATTTTACTCCTAATTATAGAGTAAAGTGCCTTTTCATGTAATTATTTGATATAAATGCAGTTCGTTTCGCCGAATTTATTATATTTTTTAAATTCATTATTAGGTTATGAAATCAGTCTTAACGTTTAAAAACAATTATGTTATCTATACACGAGTCAAAATTTTGATTGTGTATTTTCTGTACAATCACGCTTCATATTTGTTATGCAAATTTTATGTTAGAAGTTGATTATATCAAACTCAATGAGAAGTGCATTTTAAAGTTTTTTTTATACTTTATATGACTAAATTTATTTAATACATTAAATTTTTATTTGATTTATAAGTTTCCAACTAATTCAAGTCATGATCGTTAAAATCAAATGTTTTACAATGTCAATACGGCTTTTAAAATAAATATGGTCTTTGAGCAATCAATAAAAACAATTCGACTTTCTATTTTTTACAAGTGTAAAATTAATTGCTTATATAGGAACGCTATACACAGACGCTGATTAGTTTTATTATTTTATTCGAAATCCATATGAGTAATAATGTTTAAGGAGATTCGTTATAAAGCTTTGATTAAAGATCATAGAATAAATAAATTATCAAAAAATATTATTGCTTCGAAATTGTCATTGTTAGTAAAAAATATGCTCTTTACGCATATATGATAGGCTTATTTATGAATGTATCTAGGCATGGGGCAAGTGCACATTATCATGCTCTTTCCTCCTGTAATTTATTATTTCCAATATTTTTTGTTGCAGCAAATATATCGATTTTAGTATAAATATTCAAATCACTACTTTTTCAAATCGCGTGGTGTGTTTGATATGTTACTATTAGTGTCCAATCTCGTATTTTGAGTACTTTGTTAGTCCTGGGCAAAAGTCCAGCTTCATAAGTGAAATAGAGACATACACTGTTCGCCACATTTTTTCCTAAATTGATTCTTTTTTTACGAGAAACTATTTCAAATCTTAATCAAATTACACAGATTAAACAATTGCAACGATAATAGAGTAATAATAGAAACATCGTCATGTATTATTGAATAAAGCTTAGTATAAATATTACCACCTGTTCAAGTTCATTTATCGACACAGAAAATATAGTATAGTAATCAATTATTTAGTATATCGCAACCAAGCTTGATTGTTTTTAAAGACATGTATTGTTTATTCATATCAACGATCGCAATGAAATGGAATACTCGTTCTGTATTATCTAAATAGTGACGTCATTTGAATTACCAATGCAAATAAAAATATAAATACGTGTGCATCATATTTCGATTCCACTTGTTATTGACGCCCTTGCTTTCTGGTTATAAAATAATTATCAAATTTATGACGCCATTATCCAGTCATCATTAGTTTGCGTTTTGTTACCTAGAAGGGACACAGAAGTTCAAGTTCTGAAGGTACATAGAGAAAACAAAAGTGAATAACAAACAGAAAAACTTATGAATGGTAAATGGAGTATGATTCATTCCATAAGAATTAAGTTTTTATTGAAAAGGTTATTGAAATATATTCAACCGATTTGAATTATACGACCTTTTGCATGATGCCTAATTATGTTTCTTGATCATTCTTTGAAAAATTGTTCTTTCAAGTCCTATTTATTCGGTGATAAACCCAAGTCTAGCTGAATTGCCTGATTGTTGATTATTCTCGATCTATAATATGAATATGTACTTATTTGATATGGTATCTGTTTTGGGCCAAACCTTCTTAATATGACAACTCAATGCATAAATAAGTACATAGAGTTATTATGTAAAATTAAACTCATTTAATGTATTAATGATTCATCCCATAAGCATTAAATTTTTATTGCAAATGTTTCATTATAGACATTATTCCAATATAGAAGTTATCCCTCTTGACATATTAATTGTAAAATATTGAGTTATTTTAGAAAATAATGTGATGTACGCAAGATTTTGTGCAAATATAAATTTATACGATGATAAGCTCATGCCGAACATTATTATTTGATTATTAATATCGCTTTCTATAGACAGTATGTGAGATTCACATGTTGATTACATGTTTTCAAACAAGAGTTCTTACAACATTTTGAAAAATATTATTTTTTAATAATTATCACAGAAAAAATCTAATACAGTGGCTTTGTTCATAACGTATAACCAGACATAAGACATCTAAACTTTAAATATATTCAACCGATTTGAATTATTCTACATTTTACATGATGCCTAATTATATTTCTTGATCATTCTCTGAAAAATTATTA